AAACCCACAGAATCAAAAAAAGAATAAATTAATTAGTGTTGTTTTACTTGCTACTGAGTGTTGTTTTTATTTGCCAAATAACTTAAAAGTGGATCCTAATTATATCTAAATACTGAATACCAATTTCTATTGATTATATCATCCCTTACTCATTTTTACATCTTATTTGAAATGACATATTTCAGACTAACAATGTAAAGCAGATCCTCTGATGATCCTCTAACATTTCTGATCATAGGATCTGCAGAAAACTACTAATATGCTTGCTTGCATTAAAATGAGAAAATTTGTTCTTTGGGTTAACAAGCAGACTGTCAGCTTCACAAGTCTTTCTTTTAGTATAAATGGATTTCCAATATGGCCTACCTCCTGAAAACCTTGATGCCTTAGCTATGCATGTGATAAACTGGATTTTTAAATACATTAATCTGTATTGTAATAAGAAATCCCTTTTGTAAATCTGACTCAGGGCGTTTCAAAGTGAACATAAAAAGAGGAAGTCAAACCTGACAAAACTCATGATAGTAATTCCAACTATAGAAAAGGACCTAACAAATGGATAAACATGTCACATATATCAGTCCAAATATTACCACTGCCCTCTATTCTTTTGCTAAACCCAAAGGACAATCTGAGAAAAGATCAGACAACACTGCTTGTGGTTTTGCATCCTACACAGCTCTTTTTCACCTGTACCAGACATTAGAAGAGAGGGCTTCTCTCAGTTATGGCAAGAAAAGAGTTTTTCTTAGAAAAATGGAGTTATCACTGAAATACAGTAAAACAAATCCTTGCAAATCATGTAATTATCTTCATCTTAACTCAAGACTACCTCATTTTCAGTTCAGTCATAAAAACCTGCTAAATTCTCTTAAACTCAGGCAGCAGATTTCTAAAGCACACTCACAACTCCCCGAAGGTATGCAGTAACCACCTCCCATTATTTTAGCAGACATCACCGAAGATTTTTCAACTGTTCACAGAGATTAAATTCTAGTGCAAATAACCTTCAACAAAATTGTCTACATTCAGACTTCCTTCAGAAAACATGGGCAGACAAATTCGTAACAATTCAAAGACAAGGTTCATTTCCTTTATGCATATAATGGCATTAAAGGAAAAAGAAAAACATTATTTAAAAAATTTACCAATTACTGTTTCTTAGCACATCCATGTGCTGCATGTGCACACAAACACACCCCTGCACCAGTGGAGTGGTTCCTGGGTTCACTCATTAGTTAACCTTAACGTCTCTGCAATTCTGTTCTGTTTCTAGAATTTAAAAATAAAAAGTTCTAGTGGACAATAAATTTTAATTAGTATTTAGTAGTATGTAGCTACTAGGAACTAGCCACTTATTTTTTCCAGCTCCAACTAGATCCACAAGCTATTATGGGTGTCTGCAGTAAAGCCAGAAATTCAGTAACTGAAGCTAAAGCCATGTCATTTAAATCCAGCTGGCACAATCAAAGTGATTACTGAGCATGTCTTTCAGAAGAGAAACAAAGCACAGAAAAAAAAGAATGAAATATAAATATACACTACATTTTTTAGCAAGCATCCACAGACAGAAGACTTTGAAAAAAAAGTATAACGTTCAACTCTCTTTGAGGGAATGAATGTCAAACATCTGAGTGTCACTGGTGTGACCTTCAAATGTATTAAAAGATGGATGACACTGGAATTATATTGTTACAGCAACGAGTTCAGCATAACATCCACATTCCTGTGTACAACAAATTTACGTTTATCTACAAACACAACACAAGTATTTTCACTTTTTCTTTCATTTACCAAGAGGTAAATATAAGAGGCAAGATCCTGACCCTCGAATACAAAAGTATTAAATAGTTTTTTCCCATTTTGCTAAATTTATGCCTCTTAGCTATTTGTGACTATTGCACCAGTCTATTGAGAGAGTAGTCTGAGTAAGTCTTGGATCACAGGTATACTGTTTTTGTTACCTAAAATACCACACTGAGACTGTCATCTCACATAAGCATCTCCCCTGTGTCAGGCATCAAAGACTGTACACCTAGGCAGTAAACCTACTGCCTCTCTACAAGCTGCTCTCAAGTCTTCACATTTCATACCAGAAAAAAAAAACAACTGTGGGCATCTTCTAGGAGAAATTTCCAGTATTGCCTCCAGATAGTCTTTAACAATGTTACAAAGCTGGTAAAAATTAATTCTCTGAACAGTCAAAACACAGGAAGCTTTTGCTCATTTAATGAGTAAAAATCTTAAGAGAAGATGCAATAGAGCTGGAGGGATTACCACTCTTAACTGAGAACTCTGATCTTAAGTTTTATTTTTTGTGAATTCAAGTCACCTCAACTGACAATGGACAGTTAAACCAGAACTTTATATTCTTCTAAAATGCAAACATACAGGTAAAAGAAGTGCTTCTTGAAGGAAGTAGAATAGTAACACGATTTTGCTCTGGACTGAACACCAAATTCCAGAACCATGCTTTGAGAAATACAAGGTGTAACACTTTACTTCATGTCCAGATCCAAGCAATAGGATTTCCACCTAGGTGATATGCAAAAGCTCTGTGGTGCTTAACCTTCACTGGGTGGGAATTTCTACAAAGCTTTGGTTAGGCACGGAGCATTTCAGTGTGTCTGAAACCTCAAAGTTCACGTTTTATGTTACAGAAGCTCAGTGCCTATCACTTTGATTGAATTTACCAATTCCTCAAACTAAAAACAGTATTTACCACCTAAAACTGACAGGCAAAAAATAACGTAAATCCATAACGTCCTTGGTCCCGTTTGTCTGCTTTAGTAACAAAGGTGCAATACATTATCTTCTTCCTTATAAATCCATCAATGTCATTAACTAAACAAGTCCAACAGACTTATCACCTCATGTATAGTCAACTGAAATAAAAGAGAACCTTTCCACTGAAGTCTTTTACCTGATGCCTGTTAATTCCCTTCACACAAGTCTGTCTGTGGACACAATTCTGGAAGAGGATAAAGTCATTTGGTCTATTTTATGCACAGTTCCACAGTGCTGCCTAATTAAAAATTCACCACATTCTCTTAATTCAGCTGTTTAAGATGTTCTCAGGAGAGTAGTTTGAAAAGGTTCACGAAGATGATGACACCCATTAATCAGCCTATTTTGCAAACCCCATCCAAGTGCCAGAATACAAACCAAAGCATTGTTTTCACCTATCTGGTGATCAAAGTTCAGACACTAATATTCCTTTTTCTGTTCTGGTTTGGTTTTTTTTTTTTAATCCCCTCCCCACCTCCCCCCCAGGAGGATAAAATTTAAAATTTGAGACTTGGAGACCAATTTTTCCGCACATAAATAAGATCCTCAAGCACCAACAAACTGTATTTTGAAGGCACACAGGTCATTTTGTTAAATGCACCTCTAACTGACCCTGATTTCTCTTCATGAACCTAACACATAATGCTGATTTTTATATAAGGCAATCCTTATGACTGACTTCAGGGATTAATTTATAAATAATCCCTTTCTTACCTGTAACCGAACAACCTAATCAGTTACATTTCTGTAAATACAGAATAACTTCACAGATTTCAGTTATCTAATTTGGGATTGACTCAACACAGACAAAGTAATGAGTCAAGTTAGCAAAGGGCTACTATTTAAACATTTTTTTTCTCTTCAAAGATCACAGCTGTAGTCAGAAGAGACAAAACATCCATGCCAAAATCTAATACAATTTTGAGCTGATAAGAATCAATCTATCTTTTCCTCAATTGCTGAGCCCTCCATCTATCTTTTCAGGCTAAAACTAAGTAACGTGAATGAAAAACAGTGCATCACTTACCGTGAAAAAGAATTACTGCTGCCATATATAAAAATGCAATAATATCAGCATGTGTAAGCAACTAGTAAAAAACAGAGCAGGATATAAAAAAAAAATTTAAGGAAATTGTAACAGTAAAATCTTCTATTGTCCATGCTTGCTCACCCAATGAGACCAATTACACTTGGAGAGTGCAGTAGCTTCCACTGGAACTTACTGAGACACGTAATTTTCTTATATATCTTCATGTCAAACTTTTGGTTTGTGCCATGATTTTGGAACATTTGGTTTGGGGGAAGTACCAATTTCGCTATTTCCAGTAGATACCTCTTTAGGAGACCTTGAGAAGCCTCTTATCTATCATATAATTTGGGCCATGAAGAAAAATCAATGCTAAAACGCGTGAGAGGGGAGCAGAAATAGCTTTTTGAAAGCAGATCTCTCTCATTCTGCATGAAGATATGATTTCCAGTTGGATGCTTCATCATCTGTGAGCAAAAATATCTTTCATAGCAGTTGTGCAAGGTGCAGCAATATCTGTGTGTCTGTATGGGTAAAGCAGATGGCCAGAAAACTTCAAAATTACTTGATTTTGGAACATGCAAATTACTACTCATGTGTGCATTTACAGATTCAATTTGCAGTTGCAAGAATTGGATTATTCTAAGAATAATTTCTTTCCCACTTTCTTTGACTTAATTACAGTATCAGAATGACAGTAATTCAGGTACAGATATCCAATGTGGCTATTTTTCTGCATTAGTTCTTTTTTTTTTCCCCAGACTGGAACCCTTTTTATAAGTATATACCTAAAGCAAATATATAAGAATACCAAAACCAGTAACAACAACAGAACTGCAGCCAGAACAATACTGAATAACGTGACTATACAGGAATATTAAGTGAATAATAACAACTTCAAAGGAATTTCAAATACAGGTGATTGTATTACGATTGTATTACGAAGGATTGTTATGGGGAAGGATACACTGAATGTATGACACTTCTCTGTCTTTAGACCCTATTTACTGTTAGTCTGAAAGGTGACACACTATCAGGAAATTTATGACATCACACAGTCACATTTAATCTTCTCTTTCGAAAAAACTGGCAGTTCAGGGTACATATGGCCTTTCCACACTTAAATACTGCAAGTGTAATTGAATAATCATTAATTTTCATTATTTCAGTTCAGACAACAACTTACCTAAAAATGGATCACCGTATTCTGTATTAGACAGTTTAAGCAAGTTGTTTTCCAAAGTCTCCACCACTTTAGCTGTAATAAATGCAATATTCATATCAGCATTCGCAATGATTTTGTAAGTAAAAGATATACTTTTTAAAGCTGTTTTAAAACTTCACACTGAAATTTTGAAGAGCGCTTTCCATCGGCAGAAAAAATAACAAGATCACTTTAATGAAGAATTCCACTCTATTCCTGAGAGCAGTTCATCTCGGTAAAATAAATTTCTGGAGTAATAATTAGTGTCTGATGTCTATCAACATTAAGGAAAGACTTATCAAAATCTGGTAGCAAAAGTCAGATAAAGGTTTGCACACAGCCAGGCAAGAGTGGATGGCAATAGTTGGCAACAGGCAACACACAGTGACTGAGATCTCCAACTGGACTGGTTTCTCTGATAAGGCATGTTTATCTATTAAATCATAAATCCTAAAATAAAAGTAGTTCCTTATTCCAGCACAAACTAAAATTCAGAGGGATTTTCTCCTTTTGCTCTCATTTTCTCCATACCACTCTTCCCTGGTTCTGCTATTCATCAATGAATGCATCTGCTCCTACGTGTTCATACTTAAAGACATTTTTTGCCAAAAACCTAGAATTTATTTTTTCTCTCTTTCCTAGGACAGACTACAGAAACGTTCATCTCTTTCCCAGCACACCTGAGCACCTTCTTGTCTTGTTTTCAGTGAGAAGGAAATAATACCATAACTGAGTAAAACAGAATAAAAATAAGTTTAAGCCTCACTTCAGACATTATAAGGATTGACTCAAGAACCTGGTACTACGACAAGGTGTAGGCGTTTTGTGCAAAAACATTTCTCCAATAAACTGTAGATCTCTAAACAAATCAAAGCTTATCAGTGTTGGAACAAGCCCCTGAAAGAGAAAAACCTCCTACCTCGTTCTGACACTACATCCACTGTGGCTGTTGATGTCCCTGCACTCAGAGGCTGTGGCTGTACACGATTTGGCTGCAGGAATGAAGAATGCTTGCTCAGGCTCTGAGGATGCGTTTGGCTCTGGACGAGGCATGGCATAGATCTTCTAGAAGGTTTCAGTGGATGCTCTTTCACTGTTTCACTCTTGCTTGTATTCATACCTGAAAAAAAGTCAGAAGAAAAATAAAATACTAAGCTCTACCATATTAAGCCATGACAAAGAAAGATAGCTAATTATGAAACCACTTAATAAGCAATCCTCCCACTGAACAGAAATGTTTGGCATGCTATAAGGTTTGAAGATAGTTAAAAAAAAACAAACAAACAAAAAACCCCACCAAAACTAAAATACAGATGCCAATGGTATGCCATTCTGTAAAATATTTACACTTTCCTTTCAAAGCTACAAAAATTTTCCCTTCACCATTATGGAAACATATTAATGCTCTTAATACTTTTACCTATTGGGTAACCTTTGTGAAAAAAAACATTGTAGAAGCACTAACAAATGTGGCAAAAAACCTCAACATTCCGAAGTTAGCTGGAACAAAACAGCTGGCACAACAATTTGGAAAAAGCCCAACTCTTAAGAGGTGTTCTTGAGATATGAAGAAATAAAGTAGCTTTCCTAAGTGAATGGGAGAAGCAAGAGTGAGAAAAATTCACTGGGCTGAGGTAAAGATAGTAAGTAAGTACAGGAAAAAAGGAAAACCCAAAACAAACCACGATGCAGCCACACTCACTACCTCCCACAAGCAGACCAACAACTACCTGAGAAACAACTACCTCCTCACTGCTCAGATTTTCTTGCTGAGTGTTATTCTCCGTGGCACGGGACATCCCCCAGGTCCGCTGGGGCCAGCTGTCCCAGCTGGGTGTGTCCCCTCTGCTCACTGCAGAGCAGAGCTGCGAGACAGAGAGGACCATGCTGCTGCACAAGCACTACTCAACAACAGCCACTCTGGGGTGTCAGCAACACTGTTTCAGTCACAGATCCAAAACACAGAACCATACAGGCTGCTACAAAGAAAACTAACTCCCTCCCAGGTAGATCCAGTGAATATGTTCTGAAGTTAACGTCAGAAATCTTTGCTACTCCCTTGTTCAAATGCCTCAGGTTATTCCATCAAGAATTAATGCACTGTGACCTCTGAGAGACTGCTGCCTTTCCTGTCAAAGGGAACTTTATGGAAAGACACCACAGAAGTAAAAATACAGTCTGCAAAATGTCTGGGATATCTTGATGAACAAGGATATACACATAGATTAGGATTAGAAATACACTGATATTCACCTCTACCAAAAATTAAAGGCACAGAAAAAAAACCAAAACAAACACAAAAGCATCTATTGGTTTCAATGCCAAGGAAAATTAACTACATGGGGTTTGCTAGGAAGCGTGCTAAAGCCTCCTGCCTGTACAGGATCAGGAGATCTTTTGTGATTGCTGTACACAAAGATCCTCAGAAGAGTAACACAGATAGTCTGTTTTACTACACTATTTCTGTTTGACACTATAATTTACCACTACACGTTCTTATAAATCTTAGTCTCTTAGGGATATATTTAACCTCTCTCAGCTGTGCTAGAAAGAGCAATCTGACCATTTCTCCTGCTTGGAGTGCCACGACCTTCCAAGGAATTTTCCCCATGAAAATCTGTGCCACTCAAAGACGGGGGGGTCGCACTCTGCAAGTCTCTCTCTTCTCTAAACTCAAGGCAAGTGTTTAAAGAGAGTCATTCTGGCAGCCACACTCGCACCACCTGAGCTGGGGCCGAGGCAGCTCCAGTGAGCCGAGGGGTGCCCCGCTCGACTTCCCGTGCACGCCACACTCACACAGCCAGACAAGGTTTCCCTACCGGCTCCACACCAGGTCTCCCACAGCAGAGTCTCAGACGCCTGGATCCTTCAAATAATTTAATCACGTTGCAACAACAGAATAACAGATGGAGCTGGGTGCCCCCTGAAAAAAGGAAACCACAGGTCCCCCCGCGCTCTGTCATGCAAAGGGTCGGCAGTTCATGGCCGAGCTCCTGCCACCCAGAGCTCCATCTGCAGCTGCACACCGACCTACCCGCACTAAAAGTATTCTTCAGCATCAGAGTCTACAAAGAAGTTCCTCTGATTAGCAGGAAAGCCCCCGCATTTAACTATAATAGCTAAAATCACTTAAAAACTTCCCCCGAGCTCACAGAACATGCTTTGTTCTAAGTGTTTCTCTCGCTGAGAACTTAATTAGTAGACCGAGGACAGTTCCTCTGCAGCACAGCACACTGTTCTTGGTCAGACAGATTAAGTATTTAGTAGGACATTAAGGTAGACAGAGGTAAGCATCTGTTGCCACAGGTTTTGAAAAAGGTACGAGCAGAAAGGACTCTGCTTCTTAGTGAAACGGGTGCTTTGTGCCAGCAGAGCATGCAGTGGCAATTGGCTGGAGCACCGGCAATGCCGTGTTCAGAGCAGAGCAAAGCCACATAATATGTCTGTTGTGCTACTCCAGAGGTTTCTAGGAAGTCTCCTTTGTAGTTCTTCCTAAAAGGATGTGCTTGTTAGACAAAAATCTACAGTAGTTAAGACATAGCAATGGGTAATACAGATTAACACATAAAGAGAGATATTTCGTAATTGTTCTGCATGGCTTTAATGATCAGTCTCTCAAGCAGTGATAGGCTGTCAGTAACTATGGGCCCTACTGCATAATTACTTCAGGTTGCCAAAAAGGAATGTTTCTTGCATCTATACTGGAGTCACTGTGCGTAGCAAGACAAATCACTATTACCCAAGAAATTTACGGTAATGCAAATAACACACAATCATTCAATTTTAACCACAATTTAAGTGATATACGTAGAAAAAAGAATATAATTTTTATGATGAGGTACTGTCTTAATTTAAAAGAAAATTATTCCCTTTTGCTCTCTCTCTCTCTCTGTGTTCCCCTGTGTCATTTCAAACAGATTCCTTAACACCATGCTGCTTCTGCTTGAAGAATGTGAGTCACAGCACAGTAACCTCAGAGCAGATTCGCTGTTATGGCAGTGGTATGACCTTCACGATTAAAATTTAACAAGTTAGTTCATTCTCTGCTACTGTGTCAGAGTAGTGTTTTATGATATGCCAGTTTTGGTGGCATTTGCTGTTGCACCTCAGTGCTTACCCAGCTCTGGCACACTTGTGGCTGACACACAGCTTGTGGCTGACATCATCAACTGGGTCACTAAATTGATTTACCAAAATTATTTTTGTTCCTTCCTTACTTCGCCACAGGGGTATTTTCTATAATGTATGTTTCCAACTAGAAAACATTGCTCCACAGACCTTGCTTATTCAGGAATATCTGGATGTGCAATAATAGACGTATACGCTTAGCCAAAAAAAAAAAAAAGGAAGAAAATAAAAAAAGTATATACTTGTTTTTAGAACCGTATTTATTGGTTCTTTCCCTGCAAAATATTCCTCTGGTAGTTAGCATGAGCATGGAAATGATTACAGCATGAATATAGAAATTTCTTATATTGGTGAAAAACGTCATTAAAGTTTATGGTTTAATTACATCCTCCCTTTTTTATTTTAGCACTTCTGCCTTGGGAAGTCTCCTTCCAAGGGGGTGCTGGGGATTCCTGTTATTGAGGCAAAACCCTACATGGCTCAAAGCCAGAACAGACAGCTGTACTACATCTCATAGCTTCCTGGTAGAGCAGGCAGGAGAGATGGAGCTAGGATATGAAGAGCTTTTCTGATTGTTAAACGAGTATGCACAATTTAAAGCATGCTCAACATCATGCCAATCTAGAAAGACTCTAAATGAAGCCAGCTCTCGGAGGTCTCCAGATTTTGGCCATGAGAAACATAAAGGAAAAAATTTGCTGTGCCTCATTCTGTGAAATGCAGATAGAGTGGATCATTTCAGTACTAGTGAGAAAAAAAAATTGCCTTTCGTTTGCTCCTAACTTCAGGTGAAGAAAGTTTGACAGTTAGTCCATATGCATGCTAACCCAATGCTGGAAGTGAGGCTGGAGCAGTGCTAATCTCAAAAAGAACAGCCCAGTAACTATTCCCCATTTAATCAAGAAGAAACATTGGCATAAAAAAGGAGTAGCTACTACATAAATCAATAGATAGATCACCAGTCCTGGCTCCAGCACTGATCCAAGTGCAGGGGTGCCCAGGGTCCTGGGGGCACTGCCTAGACTTTGTGGAGGTACCTTTTTAAAGATAAGTTTTCTGTACCCTGGAGCTAAGTTTCTCACTTTCTATGGAAATTAGTTATAATGCACAGTTCATTCTTCTTGACCTTTTTGGAAAGGGGTCTGAGGGCTTCAGGGGTCTTTGCTAATCTTAATCCTCCCCTATTGAGTCAACCTTTAGTCAACCTCCTTCTTGCATTTTTACTGTACTGTGTTGTGCTTATCTCCAGGGCCTAGAACAAGAACATTTGTGCCAGAAATATCCTAACTCTGTATGGCCCCTTTCACCAGCTACATCCTGTTCTTTCTCACAGCTTGTTCTTACCAACAAGCCTTGGTTGGCTCCATGACCATTTGCCTATTGGTATTTGAGACATACACACTAGCTCCCTTTATTCTGGGTTTCTACACTCATGTCATCACAAGTGTGATTGAAAAAAATACCTTCTTAATTGTAAAAAAACTTGTGCAAAGCCTTTGCCTTCACATAGCGTACATCACTACCTAAAATAAAATGTCATTCATAAAACACATTGAATAGAGATCCTGATAAATCTCAAAATGTTTCTGGCACCATCACAATCAGAATCTTTAATCACATAAATTAGGAAGAAAAGCTTGGAACATCTTCCATGACGTTTAGGTTAAATGTGAAAACATTTTCACAGTGTCAAGTGTGAAAGCTCAGTTTGGAAGACCTTTTAGTTTTCAATACTCAATGGATGTAACAAATACTTACTGCTAAAGAATAAGCTCACTCTGATTGGCACCTACATTACACAAAAAAATCCTTTATGTAGGATAATTACTCTATTAAATTCTGAAAAACCTTAACTGAGAGATACTTCATAACGAATAATAACTTATTTCAGTAACAGCAGAAGTTTTCTTATCTATTTGTAAGACCTCAACACACACAAAGGGTATTCAGTTTCATCTGTATTTGAGTAAGTCATCCATACTTTCCTTTTTT